TTAGTATCAAAAATATGAAAATTCCTCCCTTTTAGAAAATCAACAAAATAATAAAAATTGAAAAACAAAACCCAATAATTTATAAAAAAGATAATAGTGATTCATCCTCTACCATATGCAAAATTATACATATTTCCTCCCCAAAATAGAACTTTATTTTTAATTATCATGTGATTATAATGCATTTTCAACTATATTTAAAATATTAACTTATTTGGTGTTCCTTTTTTGGTTAGACCATAAAAGAATATTTCTCTAAGAGCACTATTTTTGCCTTTTACTCAAGTGCCTTGAATTATTGGAGGAAGAGGATGTTTAAAAAATGGAATTCTGTGCATTCAAATATAATTGATATATTCCTTTGAAGTATGTAAACTTCTGTCTGTGTACTTTCTATTACCATTATTCATGTTACTAGTAATTAATCAAAAGTGAATTGTGTTTTATTAACTTGTAACTATGGTAGGTCCCCCTCTGCTTCCTTCTTCATAGTTCTCACTCTCCTACGTAACACCCACTGAAAATATGGTGCTCTGTACATTGGAGATTAGCTGTCTATTTTTAAATGTGAAAGCACACCACTTAAATGTTTTCTTGATAGACAAGGAACAAGCATGTAGTTTTTTTTAATTGAAAAGATCTGTTCCATGACTGTATAGAATTCATTTTCACATGTTTTATTCTTTGATAACTAGCCATCTGTCATCTCATGAGTCTCAAATGAGGCAACTGTCTTCTCCAGCAAAATTTAAATTTGCCACCTTACTTTCCTGATAAAAAGATACTTATGTAGCTTAATTCTTCTTGTTTGGAATAAAGGTTTTCTTTCAAATAGTCACTTGAAATGAAGTAGAACTGTCAGATTATTTCGGACATTCTACTACAATTATAGTCCTAAATCAAACTGGATTTTGGAGAAATGAAAATGTACCTTTGAACTAACATTTTCGTAATAAAATATCTTTGATTTGGACTTTTAAATGGCAGAGTATATTATTTCACATTAAAAGTTTAACCCCTTTCCCATGTAGTATTTATTATTTTATTAATTAATTAATTTGAATCAGGATCGTTCTCTGTTGCCCAGGCTGCAGTAGCCAGTCATAGCTCACTGCTGCCTCGAACTCCTGGGCTCAAGTGATCCACTCTTCTCAGTCTCCCAAGTAGCCAGTACTACAGGCACGTACCACCATGCCCAGTTAATTTTTTTTTTTGTAGATATGGGGTCTCATTGCCCCATATGCCCAGGCTGATCTCAAACTCTTGACCTCAAGCAATCCTCCCACCTCAGCCTCTGAAAGTGCTGGGATTATAGGCATGAACCACTGTGCCTGGCCACATGTAGCATTTTCAGATCTTGTATGTTTTTTGGTAGATAGTTATGTGGGATTCATTTTCTGCATAGTCAAAATCCTAAGTCTAGGTGAGCGTCGGATAAATTTAGAAGCTGGCTGACATTCCTCGTAAGCTGCTTTGTGTTTTTCAAACTGATCCCATACCCTTGAGAGATTAAGAGAAGTTATATATATCAAATTCATTTCAGGCGGAACTTGGGATGAGGATAGAAGGGGACTGAATGGTTACATCCTACCATTCCTGACCCCATATACCCTCCTCCATGTAGAACTGTTTCTAACTCTCCACCTGTGCTTTGAGAGAAGAGGCAGACAAGTGAGCAGCATGTTCCAACATGCTCAGGATATAGGAGGAATGGATTAAAGTCACCAAATTAAAGTGAATGCCAGGTCCCCTCATTTCCTCTACTTCAAGAATTAAGATCAAGAAAGCCTTTCACCAGTCTTAATATAGAATAAACTTAAGTCATTTCCAAAGCCTTAGCAGGCTCAATGAGACAGGGGCCAGGTGTGCTTCATTCACTGCTCTGTGTCGCACAGTGCTTTGCACCGCAGAGGAGCTCAATTTTTTTTTTTTGAGACAGAGTCTCACTGTGTTGCCCAGGCTAGAGTGAGTGCCATGGCATCACCCTAGCTCACAGCAACCTCAAACTCCTGGGATCAAGCGATCCTCCTGCCTCAGCCTCCCGAGTAGCTGGGACTACAGGCATGCGCCACCATGCCCGGCTAATTTTTTTTCTATGTATTTTTAGTTGTCCAATTAATTTCTTTCTATTTTTGGTAGAGACGGGGTCTCGCTCTTGCTCAGGCTGGTTTCGAACTCCTGAGCTCAAACAATCCTCCCGCCTCGGCCTCCCAGAGTGCTAGGATTACAGGCGTGAACCACCGCGCCCGGCCCCATCTTTTTTTTAAAGCTCACCAGCCTGTGTTTGTAGCAGACCTTCAACCTTAACTTTATTTGTCTGATGTAGAAACTCAAAGTAGCTTGATCTCTGCTAGCCTGGAGCGATTTTCTTATGAAAAGAGTTGTTCACCCTTTATGATTTGTCCAGTGTGTTCTGGATAATATATATGTTTCTTATGAAGCAATTTTTCTGAGTTTTGCTAATTCAAAAGAAAACATATTTTGTTTGAGTGATGTTACTGTGTTGTAAGGCATAGCACCTGAATCAAAATACTGACATTTTATCTTTTTCTAAATCATTTGTGTTCATTTGAGAGCTGATCTAAGTCCTTTGCTTTTTGATAGCTCCTATGTTATTTTCTTTATGGAAATATATGCGTTCTCACAGAAAAGGACCAAAGGGGAAAAAAAGGAAATAAATGCAAAGTATAGTAAATGTATAACTTATGAAGAAACTAAGAAATGCTATTGAGATCAAAAGCAATTTTTTAAAAAAACACAGTTAGTTATGGGTATTTGTAGTGAATATTAACAGAAACCTGAAGCTAATGAGTCGAGTCCTAAAAAGTTCAGAATGACATCATCAAGTAATACCTTTTATTAAAAAGTAAATTTGCCATTAAATTGGTGTGCCAGGCTTCATATGCACAGTTGCCCACACTCAGTAATCTTCTGTATTATTTAAAGCAGACGGTTTCACGTTATTGTCAGGACTGGGTCAACACTTTGAAAAGAAAGATGCATAACCTTGATAGAGAGGATTGGAGGGCAAAGGATTTGCCATGTGCCATGCGGTGGTACGTGCCTATAGTCCCAGCTACTCTGGGAGGCTGAGGCAGAAGGATCCTTGAGCCCAGGAATTCAAGACCAGCCTAGACAACATAGCCAGACCTCATCTAAAAATAAATAAATAAACACAAATGAAAGAATTAGTCAAGGAAAGGATATACAGTATAAAGATTTCACTGCAATACTTGAAATTTTCCATTCTAAAGTAGAATTCTAAAAAAGCCTTCAACTCTTTTCTCTAAGATACAAGGATTGCTGATGATTATTTTAACAAGGGATTATTTACACTTATTGGTGATAAATAGTCAATAAATGTTTTATACGTTAATAGACTTACACTGCTCTTCAAGTAAGGCCTTCTACATCATTCTTTTTTTTCCTAGCTTCACACATTTCTAGTGATGGAACTTCTGAATGGGGGAGAGCTGTTTGAACGCATTAAGAAAAAGAAACACTTCAGTGAGACAGAAGCCAGCTATATCATGCGGAAGCTTGTTTCAGCTGTAAGCCACATGCATGATGTTGGAGTGGTGCACAGAGATTTGAAACCCGAGGTATAAAATAATGTGATCTCTTATGTAATTCAATCTAGCATCATTATTAAGGTCACCCAAATATGTGGGATTTTTTGTGGGGGAGGGAGGTTCTTTGGTTTTTTACTTTCAGGGCTATTAAATAGATACTTGAAAATATGTCTCTTGGATTTTTTTTTTCTTTTATGTTTAGTCTAAAATAAATTTGT